GGACAGCTTCAGATCCCTGCTTGGACAGTGGCTGGAGGTGTCCCTTCAGTGTTCTTCAGTGAAGCCCTGAGTTCAGAGCATGCACTTGGCTGGTTTTTAGAACACCGTAATAGGGGTGCAACATTTTTTCCTTTTGCAAAAATCAGAGGTGTTTTAGAGGAAATTCTTCTGTTTGGCTTAACTTCAGTTTGGTTTTGAGGAAGAGTGAGTGAGGATGTCAGTTTTCTGAAACAGGCCACTAAATTAAGTGAAAGTGTCAACTGTCAGCCTTCCTGTGGCAGACCACACAGTTTTGAATTGCAGGTTTCCTCTTGAGCCTAGTAAAGCCAGCTGTCTTTATAATAATTCTTCATCCACTTTGTTTTTCTTCTAAAATCCCTGCAGATTGTACTGTTAGTGTTGTCTCCCAAATTTTAATTATGTTCACAAAAATTTCAAGGAAATGTACATGATATATGTAATTGTCAATGTCAACTAATCAGAAGACTCTAGTTAAATCTTTCTTCAACATTCACTTAGCTTTCTTGAAGCACTGTTTTTATATAATGTGATGGAAAATAGCCTATATGTAGCCTTTTCCAGAAAATAACGTTTTTAAGTGGTTTGAGTAGGTTCCAGTTACACTGCTGTACACTGTTCATAAATGAATCTGAAGCTATCAACAGGAGAAATCACGGAAGTATAACCTTATGAGAGCAAATTTTAAGTTTGGTTCTCTGCTGTAAAAGTGTCACATGACCTTTAGGCAGCTTCTTGATCTTTCTGTGGTGGGGGGGTTGCCTGAAAACTAGGGAAATAATGATAATTCAACATAATCTAGGAGCATTTGAAGCGTGAATTCACAGACTGCTCACATGTTATGGTAATATAAACCTAGAAATACTTTATGTAGCTAAGGAATTCATCAAGGATGAAGTTCTGCTGAGCTGTGGAACCAGCAGCATTGCCTCACAGTCAGACTCCGTGGCACACCAGCTCTAGATGCAGCAGTGCAGTTGGGAAAGGCTTCTGATAAATAGGCAGGTCACCAGCTATAAAAATACAGCTGAAACATTTTGCTTTCGTTTTCACATGAGATTTTAACATATCACAAACACAGAATGATTATGTATTGGTACCTCTGCATAGTTAGTAATTTTGGAGAATCTTGATCTTTACTTTATAGCTTTGATTCAAACAGTGTAACCACTGAGTTACTGAATGTTCAGAGAGGAGTGGAAAAGATGTCAGGAGTAGAAAAGATGTCACTGGCAATTGGTTGTACTCCAAAGCAGCAGAACCATTTCTGAAAACCAGTCACTCAGCTTTAGGCCACTTTTGAGTTATTATTACTCAAATAAACATGGAAAATTGCCTCATCTTTGGTGATGTTGTCTATGGTTCTTAGATGTGAACTTCTACTTTGCAGAAGAACCAGCAGTCTTTATTCCGCATTCAGAGCAATGAGCAAGCAATACTTCCTATAGGGAGGGCATCAGTAGTGTAGTGGTTGCCCACAAGTGTTATTGAAGGTACTTGATTCTGATGTAGGTGTACTCAGGAAGATGTTTATTAAAAAGAAATTGAAAGGAGAAAGGGATCTGTCACTCACTAAGGTAGTGTTTGGTATATGCTCTGTGACTGACAATAAGTGGAGTTTTATCTACAGAATTAGTATTTGAGCTTTCAGGAACGTAAACTGTACGCATTAGTTCTGCTGGTCAGCAGAACTAATAATATATTTATTAAATATAAATATAAATAATATATTTATTAAATATAAAGTTATAGGAGCTGTTTCAACAGGATGTGGATCTGAGAAGAGGCTGATGTTGAAAGATCACCTTCTGGTATGTTTGATCTGAGCATGCTGCCCTTGCACACGTGTACCATTAATGGATATAGTAATAGAAATGGTGAACTCTTTTTGGTGTGCCAAAGCATAAAATCTGCTGATGAAACCTTTGAAGTTGCTATTTGTTAATGTGTATGGAAATGCATGGGAAAAAGTGACTGTCTCCCTCCCCACCCCTGCTTCAGAGAGGAGGACAATAGGGGATCTGCTCTCACTCCTTTTTCCTTGTCACATACTCACCTCTAACAAACAAGTGCCTGGACTGTGTAGAGCTATTTTAGGCTTGTGAGGATTTTAGGAGAAACATTTCATGTTTCACATGGGATCACACATAATGCCATTTTTGTCCCTGAATATCTTAAAAATCATGTAATTCATACCTAAACACACTGCCAGTCTTTTCCTCTAACAGTGCTATCAGCCATACTCCCTTTCTGGTCTTGGCCTGGGGAGGGTCTTTGTGTATCTATATCTCGTGTTTCTGGTTTTCCTTTTGGACTTCAGTAGAATTCAAAAAATATTTTCTTGGGTAAATTTTGGAGGAGGAGGATGATAAAGAATTATGTATGTAAAACTGTAGGTATCTTTTCCATTAAAGATAGTATAGTATTGTTTTCTGTTTTCTTTCTGCCTATATTCTGCCATTTACCTAAGGTATTTGTATTTAATTAATTCTTGTATGTCTTCTTCCATTCTGGCCCAAATTCTCCACTCAGACATTTTCAAAATTGTTCTATTGTAATAGCTAAATATATACATTTCTCTAGATATTGGATAGCCATGTTACTATCCTGTTTTCTTGAGTCAAATTACTCTGTTACTGGTGTCTTCCTCTTTAAATGTTTTCCAGATGACAGCCCTCTTGAATTTCACACCCATTCCAGTTTCTCATGAGTTCTTTTTTCTGATAGCATTAGTTGTTAACACACCCAGAGCTTTCTCTCCTTATTTGCTCTGCTGAGCAATGATGCTTTTAAAATATCTTAATCCTCCTTTGGATATAAATCGCTTGCTAGGGTTCCCAATGCCTTTAACAGGTGGCTTTCCAGTGTGTGACTGTTGCTTCTTTAGTCTTTCTTGCTAAACTGTTTGCCTGGATACAGACTCCATTTTGGGATGGGTTTCTGAAAATAATCTGGGATTTCTCAAATTAGGCTGGGCTTTTTCTTAGCAAAAATTGCTTCTATTCTGAAACAACTGAAAAGTGCTTTTCTTTTACCAAATAGGATGAATTGGAAGCATCTCCTTCCTAAGATCCCTGCTAACTGTGATGACAAGTCTATAGTGAGCTGTTAAATTGACCTGTTTATGAAATAAAAGGAATGTGAGGATTATATAGCTAATTGTATTTCAGCATCTTTATTATTAAGGGTTCATGGTGTTCTTATATGGCATAAGAGAAAGGTATTTGAAATATTCTATAAGAAGGTAGAATTTTTCCTGTTTCTTTTGCTTGAAAATAATTTTTCTTCCCCATTTGTGTAGTCCTGTACTGTTTGTTTCTGTAACGAGTACTTCAGCTGCAGATAAGTAATCTCTAAACTGATTTTCAGTAGTAGCTTCAGAGTTCACTTTGTTTACAAAGAACTCTGATTTTGAAGGGAATTAATTAAACTGATTAAAGTAAACTTTCACTTGGATAAAGTCTAAAATCAGAGGGGCAGAAGTATTTTCAAACTTGTCAAATTTTTTGAAATGTTCATGTTACAAATGTGATAAAGAAAAAAAGAAAAGTGAAAGAGTGGGAAGAATTGTCAAAAAACATCAAAGCCAAGATGATGGCTTCGCTTTGTAAGTATGTGAAAGTGAAGGAATTTTGATTAGCCCGGTGCAATAGTTTCTCAAAGTTCAGAAGAAAATGGAGTTTCTGACAGCAAATGGGAGTTTTGGTGGTGTGTCAGTTAGGGCTGTGATTTACACGAGGGACAGTACAGGTAGTTTTGGTGCCAATGCCTGTTAGTGCCCACCTGTGGGCACTCCTTGACACAGACTCTGAACTATGGCAGCTGTGAAACAATTTGAGTTAAAAGCAGCTGCTGATCTGCAGGTCCTGTAATGCTGTAGGTCATCCTGTAGTGCTGTAGGTCATGTCTCTGAAGACCTTGCTGACAAAAGCTCTTACAGTTACTATGAATAAAAAATAACATTGAAACTTAAAAAAAAAGTAGACAAATAATGTGACTGAAGTTCTGTTAGTGACACCTCGTGTGACCAGTACTTCACACATTGTACTAGTTCTCCACTAATGCTAGTATAGAAATGGATTTTCTTCTAAAGGAAGATATTTTTCAAAAATGTGTTCGTTCATTTTTTCCAAGTTCCTAATATTTGCTGTCATCACTTTCTTCATATTCTAGCATCCCACTTCAGTGGATCAGAGTAACCCTTTCTTCCTTTCTTTCTGTCTTGGAGGTGGGAATCTGATGAGGAATAAAACAGTCAAAATACCCCTTTTGTGCAGAGTTCTTGGGGTGTTCATCTGAAGAATAGTGTGCTCCCTGTTTTCAAGAGCTGTTTGAGTTAATGATCATCTTTAGAAAATCTGGGTGATCTGGCTGTGTTTCAGACTAGTCCTTGAGGCTGCCTAGAGAAGTGTGGTTGGCGTGTCTGGTCTCAGCTGTCCTCTTGTCATCTCCTAGCCAGCACCTGGCCTTTGGGTCTTCTGCAGGAATTGGCAGGCAGGAGCTGCCAGGGGACAGAGCTGCCTGTGCAGTGAGCTGTGGCAGGTGCAAGTGTGTCCGAGTGCCCACAGCTTTTCCCTCCTGTGAGGTGAACACCAGAGCCAGCTGTTTGACCTGCGCTGGGAGCATGGAGAATGCCTAAATAGGAGAGGAAAAGAAAATCTACATGGTGCTGGTTGGAGCCCTAGCATCTTCCTCTGCTTTCAGCCTGTGGTGGTGGCAATAAACCCCAACATAAAATGCTCCTTCACAAGAGCTTCTTGATTAACTCCATAAGATTCAGTTTTAACTTCAGTCATATTTTTATCCCTTCAGTTATTTGAAAGAGTTTAAAACAGGACAGCTTCCAGGGGCGCTTGCATTTCAATGGAAAAAAAATTACTAAAAAAAAAATTAAAAGTTGGAATCATGCTCTTTCTTTGCTGTTTATATATATCTTTCCTCTGGTTTTCAGTATTGTATCTCATACCCAATTTCTTTTGCAGTTCTCTTCAGTGGAGGGACTGCTGTGGGTCAGCCATGCTAAAGGGCGTATGATGGAGGCAAGTACAAGTTTATCCTTTCACTATTGTCTAATGTTGATTTTGCCAGTTTTTCCTTTTGAACTGTTTTGTTTCCCAGGGCTTCTGGGAAATAATTGCACAAATGAAGGGCTGTATTAGAATGTTCTGGGATATAATAATGTTGTAACGTCTGCTGAGTTGGCTGTATATGTAATTGTGAATTTTGTTCCTGATGTAGTGTATTCTTGTACAAATAAGAAATGTATGTTTTTGAACTTTATGGTATAAAGTATTGTTTCCTCCCACTAACAGAATATAAAAGTGGTTGTAAGTAGAGAAAACAAAAGTGGCCACAAAAGTTGAATCCTTATGAAATAAGTGTGCTAATCAATTTTGAAGATTCACAATTCTTCACACTTAGAGTATTTTTTTTCCTCAGAAGTAGATACTAGAACAAATAAATACTGGTAAGGACCTTCATACCAGATGTGTAATTTGCAAAGCTCTTTTCAGGCTCACAACAGACTCATCCTATGGAAATAGAAGTAGGAGATGACTACAAAGGTCCCATTAGGAACCTCTGAGAGGCTGTATAATTTCAGAAATATGTTGTAGAATACAGAGGATGGTCATATCTTGTTTGTAAGCTCACTGTGGGCTGGTTTGTTTCAGGTTGGTTTGTAAACTGCCATAGGGTTAATTTAAGCGGGGTAATTTTTTCTAGCAGATAATGCGTGGAATTCCAGTTAGACTCAAGTGGTGTTCTTTAAGACCAGCAGCATTGCCAGTGATAATGTGAATAGAGAGCATGCAGGAGATCAAAGAGATCCTGGCTGGAGAGTTTACCCATCATCTTAGATAAGAGCTGCAGTTCTTCAGTGAGTCCTGACTGAAAATAAATGCTGAGTGAATTAGCTAAAATGGAAAAGGCAGTTATGGGTCAGCTGTCCGGTTTGTATTTTATGTGCCAAATAGTTTTGGGACTCTTGCTTTTTTAGATGGTGAGTTTTGTTCACTGAGCCATTTGGTCTGTTGGTTTTTGCAATTTTTTGTCCCAAAACATAAATTGAGTACAGTCTAACTTTCTGCAAAACCTGTTGCCTGAAGGGGAAAAAAAAGATTAAGAAAGAGGAAGCCCAAAAGCCAAAGCACACTACTAGACAGAAAGGCACTTTAATTCATTTAAGATAGTGTTAAGTATGTAGGTATGTTGTTTTCTTCTGCCACACAATTGCTGCATGAATGTGGGTAAATGTATGTTTCTTGGATGTAGTTTATTCCTTTGTGTTTAATGTGTTATTGATTAAACTGGCCAGTATATCTACACTCAATGCTTATAGCATCTTCAAAGCACAGAGGTAAAATCCTGCATGATTCCAGTGTTCTGCTTTCTGTAAGTACTGAGTTTCTTCTTGCCTCCAACTAATAGCAGTGACACTTGAAAAAAAGAAAGAGAGAGGCAGCTCTTCTGATATTTTTGGATGGCAATTTGAAAAGCATTTTGGAATATCTGTTTAACCCATTGTGTTAGGTTTCAGATACACAGAATCTAGAGCACTCCAGTTGTAAACTCCAGTGCATTCTGTTTCTGCAGCTGTTCTTGCATAGAAATGAACACTCTCAAATCCCAAATATGCTGAGTTTCAAATAATTCTTTTCTAAAGCACTGACTGCTTTCTGCCAAGATTGAGGTAGACCTTTGTGAGCTGATTTCTATATTTATAGAAGCCTAATCAAAGTTTTCTCTTGCAGAAAACAATGGTCAGCTTCTGAGCATGTGATCTCATGGTGCTGATGTAAAACCCTTGCAGTTACTGTATCCTTCCTTTCTTCCTCCCTTTCTTCCCCATATCTTTGCTGACCTTCTCCCATAGTTGTTGCTATGAGCAAGTGCTGAGCTGCGCTGTTGTATAATCCAGTCCTGCCTCAGCCCAGGGAATGACTCGGGTTGAGATCTCTAAGAACAGCAGTTCCTGTGACAGAGGCTGAACTGCACATACCTGGTGCTGATCCCTTGCGGATTTGGTTGCTTAATCTACTTTTCAAAATGCATTCTTGTTTCCTGTGAGAGCTGTGGAACAAGACTATGCCAACTGAAAGCATTTCACTTGCCTGTTCTTGCTTGAAGATAGATTTTCACATCAAGTTTCCAGTGCCATCAGTGGATGCTGGCTGTAATAAGCCATTTCTCACTATGTGGAAATGAATAACTTATTTGGAAATGTTCTGGTTTTTTGCATGTATTAAATACTGTTAAGTTAGGGCCTTAGTATCAGATCTTTGTCAAAGAGCAAAATTAATTCTGCCTAAGTGACTTAACATGCTTTTCAGAAATTTAGCCTCATGTTAGATGTTATTATGGGCTTGTTCTTAATAAACAAAACCCCACTGGTTTCTTCTTGCTTCTCCCCTTTTTGAACAGCATTTGTACCTTTCTTGCTTTCCTACATCCTTTGTGCTGGACTTCTCCCCCCAGGCAATGAATGACTTGTCTCACACAAGCTTTGGCTTCTGCGTACAGCCTAGATGCAACTAATGCCACGTGGAGGGGTGCTCCAAGGACTGCTACATTTTATTTTGTTAATGGCATGTTTTGCACATTGGATTTTTAACCCACACTTGCTGCATGGATGTATAATAATGACTACTCTTTTGTTTAACATTAGATAAGCATGAGATCACCGTGGCACAGCTGCATGTATAGTCACTCTTGAAGCAATTACACACCTAATTGGCTGGCAATCTTGGCATTCTCAAAATAAACACAAGCCTTTTAAAGAAAGGGGACGTATTTATGTATGAATAGTCAAATAAACTTGTTGGGTGTCATCAATGGAGCCGTCTGGCACTGAACAGTTGTCTGATGACCCTGATCCTGGAGGCAAATCCCAAGATCAAGAAACCAAAAAACAACATGAATCAGAGCAAAAATTATCCAAAATAACGCATAATGCTTTGGAGAACATTAATGTCATTGGTCAAGGCTTGAAGCACCTGTTCCAGCATCAGCGCAGGAGGTCGTCTGTTTCTCCACATGATGTCCAGCAAGCTCAGGCTGAGCTGGAGCCTGACCTGGATTTGGAAAGCCAGAGCGTCTGTGCTGAAATTGATGGTGTCTCCACCCACCCCACAGCTCTGAACCGGGTGCTTCAGCAGATCAGAGTGCCACCCAAAATGAAGAGAGGGACCAGCCTGCACAGCAGGTGGGGCAAGGGAGATGCCCCGAAAGGAAGCCCGCAGATCAACCGAAGGTCTGCTCAGGATATTCAGTCGGGTCGGCCCAGATCATCATCCACTACAGATGCTCCCACAAACTTGTCTGTGATGGAGATTGCTTCTTCTATCTATGTAGGTGGAGAAGAGGCCACAGCAGCAGCAGTAAGTTACTCAGATTTACCTTTGATCTTTATCATCTCCTTGTATGTTTTCTTAAGCCCTTTGAAATCTTGTTTTGAAAAGCAGGCTTCTTTCAGCAAATTCAAATGGTGCTGTGTTCAAAAGCTTCTTCAGTGGTGAAGCAAAGAGCTTAAAAGATGCAAGCATTAGTCATTTTCTCACATGGCAGGTGGCTGATTTTACATGTATTTGATCATTGAAATGAGAGCTACATTTGAAATATATTAGGTTGTTTGGATGGCACACCTCTGTCAAACAAGGAGGGATAGGCTGAGCAGCAGCCAGAGTGGTCCTTCTTAGCAACTGTTAGCTAGTTCCTGCAAGAAAACCTTCCATTTACCTAGATGACTTTTTAAATTCCTCTCTTATTTTCTTTTGTATTTTATAAAAGTAAAGAGTTCTAGTGTGAGTGGATGGTGTTGTTGGTCTTTTAGGCTGTGAGAGGCTCTGGGAACATGGGCTGCAGCCTGCGCTACTGTCCAGCCCCTCAGTGCTGGGTTGCTTGTCTGTAGTTTAGATCATCCTGGCTGCTCTGCTGCTGAGGGATCACTGCTGTCTCCTTCAGTTTGTCCTGCCTGTGTGGGAAAAGCAGTGATGAAATGACAGTCTCCGTTCTGTGACACGTTCTTGCAAAGTTTGCCTATCAGCCTATTGATGATATCAAGAAGCAAACAGCATGTCTGACCATTTCTCCCCTTTCCCAGATCAATTTAGTTGAAGCATTCGTGAAGTTTGATTGGTTTTTTTTGTTTGTTTGTTTGCTTTTTGGAAGACTAGCTTTCTGATTAGCTAATTTTAGTTTGCTGAGGAAACTGGTTCAGAGAGTCCTCTGAAAAACAGCCCTTAATAACAAAGGGGTCTATGTGTTTCCTCTTGCAAGGAGTCTGCCTGGAGCTGTATCTGAAGCTTTTGCCTCTTGCTGACTGTTACAACAACAGAGATAGTACTGAAGTAGTTGTGAAAAGCATGCACTCTCCTGGGCTGGTTAACTTTGCAGTTAGTCAAGCCATTAAAAGTTGAGAGAAAGAGACCTCATAACAGCTTCGGGTTTACTTGCATATTGCCTCTCTCTTCATTGTGAGTGAACTCAGGATCTTTGTTTCAGGAGAATTTTAGGGAAATTTGTTAGTTTTTTGAGTTTGTACCCAAATCCAGCAACAGAAGTTTATAAAGCAAGGTCTGATTTGTTGATTTCAAACTGTCATCCCTTTACTTCATGTATGAGCAGGGAGATTGAACAGGCCGAAGCATATTAGGTAAGTAATGTGGGAATATGGGGAAAGGCCTTTTCTCCCAACTGTGCAGCTTTGTCTGATGAAATGTTTGCCTGGATTGGTGGTTTCCAAAGCAGAATGTGGGTAGGACAGTCCACTGGAGTGTAGGAAGGAAATATTTTTTGGTTTGTTTTTATATTTATTTTCCTTTATAGTTTGTGTTTCTATGTATGTTTTAAAATAAGCATATTATAATAGTTGAGTGGTAGATATACATAGTTTATAAATAAGCATACATGTATTGGGAGTCCATGCTCAAACATTTTGTACTGATTGAGTGTGCAAAATTTGGAAACCACTGGGGTCACGTGGCAGGAGTGACAGGAAAAATGAAGATTGTTAATCTGATAGCATTTTGCTACAGCATCTTGCAGGTGTGAGAACAGGTTTAGGAGTCACTTTTTGGCATATAAGGCCTTGTGATTAGGCGAAGCAACCACTTTGACCCTGCAGCTGCCGCTCCTCTGGAGCAGCATATCGTTCCTGGCCTGCCAGGCCGTCGCCCCCGGCGCCATCCTTGGTGCTGCTGGCTGTGGCCTGAGGGAGAGCGGCTGCACAGGCTTTTGAGAGAGGGGGACTGGAGTCTGACAGAGGAAAACTGAATGAGAGGGGAAAGGCCACCTTTGGGGACTAAACCATGGGAGACCTCTGTGATCAGGTGACCCTTGGTAGAGCTTGGTGAATTTCTAGCTGCTTTATAATATTTGCACCATCTTATGACAGACAATAACAATGTATACTGTAGGTCTAAAGTGACACGGCCAAGGAAATACTGCTATGGAGAATGAGACATAAAATGAGAGGGCGATGCGAGTGTCAATCCCTTGTACTGGAATCATGTTGCATGTGCCTGTTTTTCTGTTACTACCTTTTGTCTTTAGCAGATAGTCTTTAGGAGAGGGAAGAAGGATGGGCGGGAGACTTGGACTCTTTCTTTTCCTGGGAAATTTTCGCAGGTCAGGGTGGTGTACCTCATTTACTCTCTTGAGAGCAGGTAACAGCACTATCTCACAGTGTGGCACAGAGGTTGGAAGAGTTATTTAGTAGTTTAGTGCCTCTCAAATGTGGGGATCTCTATTTTCTCATGCCTCCAAGAGCCAGAAAGGTCAAGACTGCTGCAGCATTGCTATGCAATCTGTATAATGTTGAGAGCTGTAAAAATCACATGAACTATGCTTGACTTAATTTGCACAGGAAACAAAAAGTGAAAATTGAAAAATAGAAATGTTGGGGTTTTTTTAGGGAGAACAGCAGAATGTTGTCTGATGTTCTGTGAAAGGCACTGTGTGTCTTTGCCATATTAACATAATATCTTGCTATTATTTCAGTCTGAGGCGTACTGTCTTGGCTATGGCATGTGTCTATACATACTAGGTTTAAAGTTTGTTGATGCCAGTTGAAGTTACAAATTAATGGGAGACAGCTTGCAGGTTGAATGCAGATGATTGTACAGCTTTAAATAATATATAGCAGCCTTTACTGAATTTTCAGTATAGAGATGCAATGCATTTGTAAATTAGCTCCATGTAAATTTTAAATCACTGATATAATTATTAGCAGAACTTCTTGGTTTGTCAAATCAGTAAAGCATAATGCAGTCATTTGGTAAATCACCCTTATAACAGATGTTAGTGCTGTTTTCATTGGAGAAGCCAGCTTAGCATTCAGGCTGCTGTGCTGCTGGAATTTATCACTATAAATTAATGAGTTGTTAAGTTGCAAAAACTAACTCTTCATTCAACAATTTGTATTGGAAAATTATTTACAACACACTTCAAATGAGAATCAGTAAAGAGCCAGGAAAAATCTGAAATCGTTGGAGCAAACTTAAAGTTTGCTGTAAATTCAAACTTTAAACACTGTCTTTAAGTTATGAGGTATTGAAGTTGTTTCACACAGTATTAGTTTAACCCTAAGTTCTCCTATTTTATTTAGCCTCTCACTGAGACTAGATTACATAATGAAGCTTAAGAAATAGAAATAAATTTTTTGAAGTGTCTGGCAGATAATGCTCACTCATCAGGGTTGAGAGTCCTCTGGACCCCCAGGTTCTACCAAGTGTGTATGGATTATCTCTGCATCTAACTTTCACTTAACTTTTTTTGTTGGTTTGTACTCACTTTCTCAACACTTTGCCTATTTGTCTCCTTCAGCTTTTTGTGATGTTATCTTTTAAATAAATTTTTGACCTTTTCCTTTTAATAAAGCCACAGCAATTTCACTTCCTTGGTTTTGGTGTTTGCTGTTGACAGTGATGCTACATTGACTCACCTTCCCTCAGCAGAGAGTATTTCCTTCAAAATTATTTAAGAATTTCATAAATCCATCTATAATTAGAAAAATGTCACTGAGCTACAGCATTGATCCATCTGTTGTGAACATATGGGCTATACAAGCTACAAGGAACAGAGAAACAACTCATAGAATGGAAAAGTTGTGATTTAATTATGACAAGAACTATGAAACATAGGATTTGCTTTTGTGGTTGGTGGTGAAATTGTCAGTGCTTCTTACTGGAACGACAGGAGCGTTACCTGTTGCAGAACTGTTTTGCAGGCATGGATGAGCAGGAGCCCACGTGCTTCAGTCTTGCTTACTACTGAAACTTAAAGACCTGTTAAACACATCTGGGCTATTTCCATATCTACCATGTTTTGTGGATTCGAGCCCTGAGCATCATCCTTCTGTGCAAGGCTGCACAGTGATTAGAGTTTATGCTTAACATTGCCTACATAAATGCTGTGTTGAACTTGGCTAAAGCTTGTGATTTATTTTCTTGTTGGGTTGGTCCTGCTCAATGCTGTTACATTTCCTTTTTAGCAGTAGTGCTATGTCTGAACACAGATACTTTTCTTTTGGAAAAGGAAAGAACCCTTATCAGCTTGGCCGTGTCCACGAGGTAAATTGCAAAAGTGCAAAAGGAAATTTTGTAATTAAATTCCGTGGTATACTAAGACACTCAGGCGCCCGTCATGCGGCAGCTGTGGAAGGGCAGGGCTCAGAGCAGGGAAGCTCTAGGAGCTGAGTTTTCCAGCCAGCTCCCCAGAGTCCCCTTTTTCCTGAGTCGCATGCAGAGTACTGTGTGCGAGGAGAAGATGTGTGCAAGATATGGTATTGATATTAGTTTGTCTTGGACTTTTTGAACTTCTGAAAGCTCCTATCGCATTACTGTTTTTCCACCCCTTTTTTTCCTGGTGTCTTTGTTCCAGCTATATGAACCAGATGGAAGTCATCTTTCTTCATGTGCTGGGCACCATTTTGTCATTTATGTTGCATTTTTAAAAATAGGTGTAGCCAATGTGTGTCTTTCACTCCTGATCCTCAGTTTCTGGCATGTGAGATGTCTTCTTAGGCCTCACACTTCCTTTTTCAGGAGCTTCCTCTTTCCCCAGCCTGCTTATTTCACATGGCAGGGTCAGTTTCCAGCTGTCTCCTGATTAGATACACCTACACTTTCCTTTTCATGTCTATAACCCCATTACAGACACACTCACACAACCTCCCCCACTAAAAACTGTGCCAGAAAGCTTAGGAGGGTGATGTCCTCAAAATGTTGTATTGTTAACTGAAGTGGGGGGTTGGGTTGCTTAGGTGTTGGTGTTTCTTTCCCCTACCAATGTTTTATGTGTGGATGCTGCAAAGTTTTGGAGAGAGGAGTCTTTATTTCTCGTCAGTTCTGCAAAGCCCCTGGGCCAAGGTTAGAGCCGG